TGTTTGAAGTTCAAGTTTTAGTAAGTCGTGTTGGAGATCGATGTAGCCGTCAATATGACTGTACCGCGCCCTTCTCGGCTTGCTTGAATTCACAATGCGTTTGTATTACCGGTACTGTACAACAGGGACTTCGATGTGTGGCCTCAAAAAGTTGTCCTTTTGGAGGTACAGCTAACAGTTCTTTGAGAACGGTCACCTCAACTTTCAGAACGCTTCATTTCATTATCATTTTTTTAGGGATGCCTGGACAAGTCTGTATTAGGAAAGCGTCTCAGAATATGGTTGAAAATTTCATTGAAGATTCCGACAACTGCCCAAAGGGACAGGTATGAACAGTTTCCTTTCTCAGTGCCTCTTTTTTCGTGCAAAAAGGATCGTCTAAACTAAATGTAAGAAAATAGTTGAGAAAATTAAATGAAAGAACGAGTTGGTCCCGATACCACTAAAGAAGTTCTTTTTACAATTGTCCAATAACTTAAGAAAAGAGCAACAAAAAAATATAATAAAGGGTACAAAAGAGTTTCAGTATTTGTTAAGCATTTGCTCAAATTGACGAAATAACACCCACCCATTTTATGTATGCGTTGGAATAGGTGAATCACCTGATGGTCACTGCTGTCCAGTTGTGTGCCCACTATCTACTAATGTTGATACGGCTTATTCTTGTGACCCTAATGCTACTCGTAAATGCCCAACAGATACACATTTCTGCTACCGGCTATCTGGTAAACGTTACATATTTTGCAAAGTAGTCGTCATGTAGTAATACCTTTTGTGCAAAGCGCTCTGCTTAATTGAAGTCAATGAAAACACTGTTATATCTAGATGGTGGATTTTCGCAGTCAGCCTGTTGTCGAAGACCGTGTAATGCTCTTGCACCAAATGCCTTATTTGTAAATGGAAACTGCATGCCGCGAGGACAGTTAAACTCACAATGTACAGTTAATGAACAATGTGGCGGTGGAGAGAGCATGCAATGTTCCCGAGTACCTTTATTATATATAAATTTAAAAAACGTTTAAACGAGAACTATAACCTACTATTTACCCCCAGCATTTTTAGTTCTTCAAAAACTCCATACCAATCGATTTGAAACCCAGTAGTGGCCCTCAGTCTATTTTAACTGCAAAAAAAAAAAGTATTCTTACGTTTAAAAGTGCATTCTGCTTGTTGACCATCATCAGTTTATCTGGAACTTAGATAAAGTAAAAATGGCCAGTAAAATGCACACAAAATTTTCTCGCATGGTATAAAAAGAACTTTTTACCCAGCGCGACTGGTGAAATGATCTTTAAAGAATCAGTTAACATCTCTTTCCAAAAGCATGATGTTGAAAGCATGTGATTACTGCAGTGTTCCGAAGTACTGCAGAAGCCTGCAGCAATATTTTTGGAAATTTATATTTAACAATTACATTAGCAACACCCTATTTCCATTTCCCAACATCAAAACACGGAAACAAATGTGCAAGAGCAGCTTGATAAAATGAAACTAATCTTATTTTTACAGTGCCCGGGTAATAAAGCCCAATTACGTTAGCTGAATTCTGCAATGTTTTTTGTTCTACCAACAACCACTCAAAAAATTCATTTTAGGGTCAGTGCGAATGCCTAGCCGGTTTCCATCCGATTGTTGATCCAGTTACAAATCCTATGAAGAATCCAAGCCAGAGCTGCACACGCAACTGTGAATCTGACTCGCTGTCGCGCGACACGAGCTGTCTCAGTCCTGCACCACTCGGGGGTCACTGTTTTATCCAAAAGCAGTGCCCTAAACAATCCGGCTGCTACCGGTACATCTTTCGATCTTATCGGTCAATTTGATTCAAAAACTGAAATATGTGGTGCTTAGGTAAACTGGATCACCTTAAGTCAATCAAAACTAGTAAAATATTTCCCTTAATTATTTCTCCTCAGTATGTTCTTTCATGACTGTTCCGTTTAACCGCAGCTAGGATGAAATTAGACGAATCATGCACTGAGCTTCTAAGGTTCAACTTCTTTATTACTGTGAATTATTAAGACGCTAAACGTTAAAAGTATATTATTGTATACTGTCCACTTGAAAGATACTTCATAATATTACTGAAAACACTGAACAATTAATTGTCAATTTTTAGTGGAAGGTGCATGTGTAAATGCGGATATAGGCAAGAGGGACCTAAATGTGTAGAATTACCCCCACCGCCGTCGACTAGCCCACAGCCAACAAGTACCAAAATTTCTGTTTTAATTTTTGTTAAACGAAGAGTCGGTTATTACAAGCTCCTGAGACACAGAGTTTTATATAAGCAATTACAACGAATCGGCAGCGTATCTTGATCTAGTTCAAAAGATTCTCAACTTTCTTTTTTTAGTACTGGTTCCTGGTATCGGAGTTCCACAGGGCGGCGATTTCCTGAAGCTGATTGGGAACTTCTTTGGAGGCTCGAATGGGAGGAGTGTCTTCGGTGGTTAAATCAAAATTCGTTTAAAACATCTTAGTTGCTCTCTTGCAAAGCTTATATATATAAAAATTTACAAACAATTAATAAAAATAACTCTTCATTTACAGTTGACACAGAAAAAAAAGTGGAAAAGTATAGATCCTACAAAAAAGACCTTTCAATCTAGCAAAATAAAAAGAATTAAAGGAAGTTTTATTAAAAGAAAAATGTTGAACTTCAAGAACAGGTACCAACGTCGCAAAAAAGTGTGTTTCATTTGTCTGTGAAGAATATCGATGTATTATAAAACACTGAAAATTTTTTAAAGCTAACAACCGTAAACAGTAGTTTATAAAAAACTTAGCCGATTACTACGTATTACAACGTCTCAAATCAGTACAGAAGGTTCTCCAAATAGTAAGAACTTCTCTTCAACCTTTTACGTTTCATGGCTCCACATCATCGGCCCAACAACTTCTTTCACTTTCTCTGGTCCCACGAGCAACTCGACTAATTTTAGGGCAAAATCGAAGGTTGTACCGGGCCCACGGCTGGTGACTACTTTACCGGATACCGCAACTTTTTCTTCCGTATACTTATACCCTTCAAATAACTTTAATAAGTTTCAAGCAAAAATAGGAGTGTCCAACTCAAAGGAACAGAATGACAACCTGCATCGATGAGCAAGTCTTTAACGCATGGGTGGGACGTAACTAGACATCCAGGAGCAATCGAATGAGTTTTCAAAGCTTTTGGGGCTGCACAAATAGCAGCAACGATTGACTGTTTCTCATAATGAGTATGAAGAATTTTGCCAACTTCAGGTGACTAAATGCATCCACGTAAAAAACCTTACTTATCGAAGACGAAGTAATGAAAGTTACAAGGACGTATATAACAAATGTTACTTTCTCAGAATTACTAATATGAGTCACCGAGAAAGCTGTACCGTAGCAAGTGCCTCACTGCCTTGCAGACCGCCAGGTAAAACAACAACATCATAAAGTTTTGTTGCAACATCACTTAATGCGACTTCCGGTTCAATAACAATTTTGCGAGAACAAGTGACTGGCGCCTTCCCAGTTAAACCTGCGAGAGTTACCTTAAAAACTACTACCAAAATAACTGTTGATCCTCAGAAACTAAATTAAAAGAATTATTTGTGATCTTAAACAAAATAAAATTTCAAGCAATCCGACAGTTAAAACTAGTAGCAACCTCAATCCCTCCTCGTCGAAGAACATCAACAGTAATAACAGTCTCCATTTCTTCAGCTCCACCAGACAGAATCACTAATGCTGTTTTCGGTGCCATTGTTCGAGTGCCTGTAAACAAAATAACTCAAGCGTACAAATAAAGTTCTAAAAGTGCATCTATCAGCACGAATCATCAGACCTTACTACACAGTTTTCAGTCTCGAAAAATATTTAACATATGTTTTACTGGTCACGAAAAACAGCTATGAAAAAATAAACCACTGTCAACTATTAAGGTAATCAGACACTAAAATAATAGGAACGGGGAAGATTTCACCCAGTGAACGCCAATTTGATGCGGCAAAGCAACGATGCAGCCCGAACTTCTGCGAACCAAATAATACACTTATATTCCTAGTACAACTCCTGGCACTCAGTAGACGTTGCAAGGAAGCCAATGTTACGAAAGCCCCCCTCATTCCACAAACAAAATCCCCCAATTCAAGTCAAAGTGGCTCAGGTACTCCACCACTACTTTAGCAACCCCGCTATCAGCACTGTTGTAATATTGAACTTATAATAGCACGTCAAGAATCGTTTGGACAATCAAGCTGGTTTATTACAGCTCGAAACTTCAACTTTGGTTCTTAGGGCCACCGATGGTTGGCAGTCAACTATATGGTTGGCATCTGTCCAGTCAGTAATCGGTCCTCTACCAGTCCTGCACCTCCTTTTACCAACTTTTTCTCCATTCGATACTTTCCCAGTTTTTTCTATCGTATTCCTTTCGTTCCTCTTATCCTTATCATCCATTCTTTGCTTGCTGTTTCGTTCTTATACGTTTTTCATCCCTTTCTTTATTGCTTGTTTATATTTCCTTCCCACCAGCCCACTTTTTCCTTCTTTCTTTCCCTGGCCTAAAGTTTGTTCCCAACTTTTTCTCCTTTATCACAGTGCGCCGCAACTGACCGTTAGAAATACGACTACGCAGCGAGTATAACCTCAGTACTGTATGGATATTGTTTTGAAAAGTACTAATTAAACCCATATCGCTGTCAGCTCACAGGAACATCTCTAAAGTGGTAGGTAGCTCAACGTATTCGACTGTCTATGCATCTGCT